GTCTGAGTTGACGTCTGAGTGGCCGTCAGACTTGTCGTCCTCTGACATATCGGAGTCTTTGGTCTCCTCTTCACTGTTGAGCTCGTTGTCGTCCATATTATCTTCGTTGTCCTCATCGCCTGAGTTTTGTTGAGCTTGTTCTGCGGTCTCCGCGCCGACACATGAGTCCTTCATCTTCCGACGTTTCATCGCCTCTATCTGCCCTTCCATGTCGTCGTACGGTATGTTTGGGTTAATCGTGTATCGCTCAGCCCTTCCAATGTCCGGCAGTTCAGCCAAAAGGTTTTCCCGTATGACTTCAAGCTTGCGTGAGATTCGAACCTGACCTCTCAAATGCTCGACGTATTTTAAGTAATCGTTGAACTTCTGGACGTCGACGTCCGTATAGTTAGTCGCAAGTGAGGCTCTGATCTTCGATGCTAGTGCTGCGTAATCTTCGCTAATGGTCTGCTCATTGGCTGTCTGTGCGCTGGCGTTGCGCTGACGAGGGCCGGCCGTTTGGATGCCGATGTGACGTGACGTGACGTTGGTCTGTGTAGAGACGTCTAAGGATGGCTGTCGTGACGTCGATGTCATTTCGGAGGCAGATCCTGGTTGTTGGCAATCTTGGGGTGGCTTGTTTTGTGTCCGGGGTGTTGTTGAGTCCGGAGTCGATGTCACGTTTTGAGGCTTACATCTGTAGAGAAGGTTATCCATGGAGTGTTGCAAGTGTTTGTTTGAATTCATGTTTGCACTATGGAAGCTACACTGCAAATGACCACATATTTAATAGAAGCACGTGTCTACTGCGTTTATGTTGTTGTCCATTAGGTGGGGGCGCTTCAGTTTGACGTGACGTTTGATGTTTAGATAAGGTTAGGTTGGGTTATTAAATAGGGAACTGGAAAATCGATCTACTGGTCGTTAAGTTTTTCAAGCTCAGGTCAATGGACCCGGGCCCTATTAAATATATATTGAAGTAATTGTAATAAAATTGCTATGAGATAATGAAATAAACCTTGCAAGGGAAACAAGGACGGTTAGGATATCTTAGACTGTAATAGCAATCTTTTCGGGAAATGTCGTGTTATTCGTGTCATCTAAATATTATTTAATACTTTGACTATAAACCGTTGAAAGCTTTGAGGCTTCCTATAATCTTATTGACGTATAGTTGATACTCAGTGAAAAGGTCTTCGAAACGTAATACGTCTGTAAACGTCCTGTAATCGACCGACTTTGACGTGCAGATCCTGTCAAGTCTTGTGCGGCTATAAAGGTATTTTGGGCAGTGGTAGAGTAAATGACTTATAGTCTGCTCGGTTGACGAATCACACCGACAGACGTTGGTTTCAGTGATCTTAAATCTGTGGAGGTATGACATAGTGAACGCGTGCCCGGTAAGTATTTGTGTCATTTCAAACGTCGGATTTGAGAGCTTCCGCATCTGACGTGAGTGGTATATGGATGGGAGGAAGGCTCGCGTTACTGAGCCAGTTGTCGATTGAGTGTACCTTTGGTTCCATTCCTCAATGACGTCTTCTCGGATCTTACGACCAACAAAGTCTCCGAACTCTTCAAGAGGACTATTGACCCTAAGAAACTCAAGTGCGGAATAAACCATTGTTCAAACCTCTCAAACAACACCATCAGATTTCAATTTTGCACAGAGAGCGAGAGACCGCGTCACCGAAGAAGTAAACAAAACCGACGTCATGACGTCAATGAAATCCAGGGAGAAGAGACCTCTCTTCATCCTAAAGGGTGTCCCAAACGACGTCGACAAGGAGGACTCAATAGACGTCAGACCCTCCAAAGAAACTGATTTCATTGATTCGCTCATCTATCAGAACCAACTGGCGAACACCATAGACAAGTCACCGAATGAAGAACACATCAAGATCTTATTCCGCCGCAAAAACCGTAACGACAATTTGGTAAACATCGTTCTAGAAGTTTCGCCAGCCGTCTACAGATCACTAAAAGACGTCAATAAACTGTACGTCGGACACAACCGCATACATTTAAGTGAATTCTCATCACAACTCCAATAAATGTTTCGGTTTCGGACACACTTCAAAGCACTGCTCCAAAACAGGATACTTGCGGCCACTGTGCCGGAAAACACAGGACAACTGAATGCGACCACAAAGTCGAGTCTTCAATCAGATGTGTTAATTGCCATAAATCTAACGTCAAATTCCAAAGGCAGGAGTCGACGTCGCACGTCGCCACGTCAAGGAACTGTCCGCACGTCGAGAAAATGCGTCAGCGAGTCAAGGAAATGACCAACTATGGATTCTAGACTCCCAAAGCAAATCAAAGTAGTTCAATGCAACCTCAACAGATCATCCAAATGTCAAAAAGAACTCGTCCGGAATTGCCAGTTGGCCAACGTCGACTTTGCAATGGTACAGGAGCCGTACGTGGGTAACAAAGGAAGAGTTACGGCAACGTCAGGCACAACTGTACTTCAGCATCAAGTTGACGGTGACGTCCGGTCGGCAATTCTCGTTTTCAACCAAAACTTAAATCCCATCATACAAACAAAATATAGTACCTCAGACATAACAGTGGCAGACATAAAACTTGGAGGCCAGAACTTTCGGCTCTAGCATCTACAACCCTCCGCGCAATGATATCTCATCAATACTAAACACCCTTTCGCTCGCTTCACTCGACGTCAATAGGATGATAATTGGCGGCGATGTTAACTAAAGCCATAGTACGTGGGCACTGACAGACAAAACGGATCACAACGGGGAGAAAATAGTGTCTTTCTGCATTGAAGAAGGATTTGATGTCCTAAACACCGGAAACACACCGACGTTTGAAACTATAAGAGGGGAAGAATTACTGGAATCGGTAATTGACGTGACCTTTACATCAGACGCAGCGTCTGACGTTGTGACTGACTGGACAGTTGACAGAGAATTTTTGCTCACCGGCGATCACAACGCTATACGTTTCAACATAATTATTGACGGAAATAAGGAACCAAATCAATCGAAATCTACTTTCAAATACAGGAGTGAAAAGGCCGACTGGCTTAAGTTCTCCAAGATCTGCGCTGAAGGTCTCACCGCTGCAGACGTCGACGTCAGACTTGTGGAAAGCGCTCAGACAATACAGGACCTGGACATAATTATAAATCACATTACCAGCACAATCCAGACCGCTTGTATGAAGTCAATGCCGCTACAAATGAGAAGGAAAAAGATCTGCCCTTGGTGGACGTCAGAGCTCGAGAAGTTGAAGTCTGACGTCAAAAGTCAAAAGAATAGGCTTTCGAACGCCATTTGCCGACCGGTTCCAAGTGCTGTACTCGCCCTCAGAGTTAAAAGAACGATACGCTCAGCTCATTCACGACACGTCAATCGAAAGTTGGAAAAAATACTGCGGTCGGCAAGGAAGAGACGACGCCTGGAGTAACGTCTACCGTCTGTTCAAAGACACCCCAACAGCTACCCCCACAAACTCCAAATCGGTGAAACTCTCACAACTGACGCTAAAACGACTGCAGAAGCGCTACTCAGAATAAACTACGTGAATTACATGCTGATCATAACAAATTCGATATTAATGACACCACAGCACTCATTCCTAGCTGTTTTAGAAGTCCTTGATCTATCGAGTTGTGGACCTTTCATCAGGATCCTTTTGTTTACGATTAAAATTTTTCTGATCACGATAGTGGAAGGGACTTCCGGCCCGCGGCAAGAGGTTAATGAAAATTGTGGGTGTTAATTAAAACATGCAATTTCACGCCCTTCTGGAAAGATGATCAGAAATAAAAACGAGATAATCGACGCACATCCAAATACTGACGAGAATTCTGCTTTGGATGCGAAGGACGGCACTGCTATGAACAGGAGCTGCAGAAACAGAATCATGGATGAGATTCTGCGCGAGGACGCGAGGAGGCCGTTTTCGGAGGAGTTCGGGACGGTCAGCTTCCTGGACTGCGACAGCAAGGCGCAGCCGCTCAAGATGGCGGAGGAGCAGTTCAGCAAGAACAGCAGCGTTGCCAACTCCTTTACGGAGATCGATTTCAACGATGAATCCTTTTCTTCCGGGACGAAGGACGAGGAGGAGTCGAAATCTTGATTAAATGAAAATTTTTTGTTGGGGCCCACATGGACACCGCCGTCATGCTCTACAAGCCGAACATGATAGGGTACGTTCGGATCGTGCTCCTGTTTGCTGCGATGTTCTACGACGAAATGCCGTTCCTGCTGCTCTACCTGACGAGCGTCTCGCTGGACTACTTCGACGAGGAAAGGAAGCTCGGTGCATGCCTTGACATGATCACGGACAGGATCTCCACGACAGTGCTCTGCATCAAGATCATCGGGAAGAAGCCGTACTACACGAAGAGATGCATGGTCTACATCTTTTTCGATCTTAGCCATTTCCTCTACTTTACCAGCATGGTCCACGGTTCTACCCCAAAAGGCCTAAAACCCAAAACGCCTAAACCCCAAAAGGCCTAAAACCGAAAAGGCCTAAACTCAAATAACTAACTGACCAGTGGACATATTGTTAATTTGATTAGTGAAATAGACGTGTCTTAACCTAACCTAACCAAACCTAACTAAAATTGAGTCAAATGACCATTGGTAAGTAAGTTATTCAAGTTTAGGCCTTTTGGGGTTTAGACCTTTTAGGCTTTAGGCCTTTTAGGTTTTAGGCCTTTTGGGTGAGTCCCATGGTCCACGGGGACATCCACCACAAGAGCTTCGACCGCAACTATCTGCTGCGCGTGTACTACAACCCGCACGTCCTGAAGATCATGTGCACAGGGTCAGAGGCCTATTTTCTGCTTCTTTACTACACGAAGAAGTCGTCTTCTCTCCTCGGCATACTGTCCCCGATACCGCTGATCAAGACGTTCTTCCACATCATGCACCTGTACATCGGCGTCTGTGTGCTGAGCACGGTGGGCGCCAAATATGCAGGCGGCGTCCCGCGGCACGGGCTGCCCGCTACAAAAACGCCTGTGTATATCTAAATTTATTTAATTATTCCTCCGACTTTTTCTTCTCCAAAAGCTCTTTTATAAACTTTTCGTAAAGGGGCTTGTCGTCCCGCAGCATCTTGGACGCGTCGACGTTGGCCGGGCTGAAGATGTTCGGGGAGTTGAGGAGTGAAATGATGCTGAGACAGACTGTTCTGACGTTCTGCCCGGGCGTCCAGGTGCAGTTTTCGTTCTCATAGTTGGTCGGGTCGTCTCTCTCCGAGTGGAGAATGGAAATGCACACAATCCCGTCGTTGTAGATGTTCGGATGGAACATCTTGGTCACAAAACGGAAGGTCGGTGGCTGGAAGGGGTACTTGCTGGGGAAGTGCATCTTCGCATGGAGAACATGGTTCTCGTAGACAGAGTCTGGCGGCCCGCTGATGAAGAGATCCCACTCCTCGAGAATCTCCTCCCCGTGCTCGTTGGTGGCGAGTTGTGCTCTGATGCCCTGGGCCTCCTCGTCCTTGAGCATCTCAAGCTCCTTGAGCAGCCTGCGTCTTCCCGAAAGGGACAGGTTTCCTGTGACAGTGGCCATAAAGGGGTCCGCAGTTTGTTAATAATAATTGTTTTAAATCAGAGATCAAATTTTTATGGACACTCGGGATTGCCGTCGTCGATGCGGCGGGGAGCGGGTTCCTGTCCGGGATCTGACCTGCGGCGGAGCAGAGCACCGGTAAATAAAGTTGCGTGTTTGTGGGGACAGGTGCAGAAACAAACAGCGTGGGTCGAGACAGGCCTTGTGCCGCGAAAGGCCCTGGCCTTCCTTGCTGTTCTCGCAAACGTAGAAGAAACGATTTAATTATGCTGTGTCGTGCCTGGACAAGACGGGCCCGGTGCAGATGGGGGACGCTACGCCAGCAGCACGTATGTGTTGTCCAGCCTCGCGAACTCGACGATAATGTACGCCAGATACCCGCTGAGGAGCTGCTTGCGGGGCGTCTGGAAAGGCTGGCGGAGGGCGCGGCGAAGCGGGAGGCAGATAGCTGCCATGCGGAATGCGCTGGAAACCGACGTGGCATCGATCTCCGCACGGGCGGAGGACCTTAGGAGCCGCGCAGCAGGCCTTACGGCACGGGCGTCTCTGGTCCTTGTTCCCGGGGAGGTCGACGAGTTCCAAGATATTCGGGAACGAGCCGGGGAACTTGGAGATCTCGAACGTGGACGGGTTCCAGGGGAGAGAAAAGGACTTCATCATCGTGTCGCTTGTGCGCTCGAACACTTACCAGGGCATCGGGTTTGTCGCGGACAGGCGCAGGATGAACGTGACGCTCACGCGTGCGAAGTACGGGCTGGCCATTGTCGGGAACCCGTTCACCCTCTACAAAAACGAGATGTGGGCGAACTTCCTGGACTGGTACGACCAGCGCGGCGCGATATACGAGGGGCCTGTCGGAGCGCTCAGACTGATGAGCTTCGGCGCGTTTGACATGAAGGCCCTCTCGGAAAGCCTGTAGGCACCTTCCGCGGCGTGCAGCCCCGGGTCTCCAGAGCACATCGCCAGCAAATAGAACGGTCTTTGAGTGGGGCTGGTTCGATACAGTAAAAGCTTATTCAAGAAGTACTAATTTTATTCTATATTATAGCGGGCGGGCAGTCACAACGATTTCTCGGCAAGACGGCGCACAAAATACACTCTGTCTGTGGCGAACTGTGCAAAAAGCGAGGGGGAAGCGCCGAGGCGGACGAGAACATCCCGTTTGTTCAGAAGCGCAGCACGGTAGCGCCAGGGCGTGCCCTCCGTGGCAAAGAGGTGGGCGATTTTGTCGCGGGTGGACGTCTCGACGCGTGCCAGGGAGGCCGCTGCATTCAGAACATGGATCTTCAGGGGGCGGTCGCAGGCCGCAGAAACAAGAAAGGCATCGATGGTCGCAATCATGTCAAATGGTTTGTAGAATTTAACGAGGAGGAAATTCGATATTCTCAGGTGCAGCGGCTGGAGAACGGTCGGCTGTGTGAAATAAAGAACCTGGTCGTCCTCGCAGTCCTCGAGCGACGGCGTCTTGCTATACCTGGTATTCTCCTTCCCGGCATCCTCGTCCCCAGACGCCTCCGCGGCTTTGCTGTCCCCGTCCTTTGCGTCGCCGTCTCCCTGGCCGGCCTCCTTGACGGCCCACTCGGGCTAGAGGCTCTCCTCCAGGTCTATCCCGGACAGGTCAGCCTCCGCAAACGGCTTGTAAAACGGTTCTACCCCAAAAGGCCTACGGCCCAAAAGGCCTACTACCCAAAAGGCCTACGACCCAAAAGGCCTACTTTTTCCAAAACGCCTAAAACGCCTAAAAGCCCAAAAAGCCTACGACCTAAAAGGCCTACTTAAAATAAATAATTTTTTCGAAAGTTTTAAATGTTTTTTGGAAAAACCCCTCTACCCAAGAGTAAATGTATTTCTATGGGTTTTTCGGTGTTTTTGGACCCACCCTCTAACTTCTCGTAGAGTTAATGTATTTCTATGGGGTTTTCGATATTTTTTGGCCCAACCTTTACCCATTCGTGGGAATGCCAACTCCCTAGTGGGAGTTGGTGTTTCTACGAGGGAAATGGGGCAGTTGCAGACAAGCGAGTGCTTGTATATCTTGTAGGCATTGTCTTCCTCTCCGCCGCCCGCACTCTCCAAATCTAAAATGATCTCCGACCCGTTCTTATCGTTCCTTACATACGTCTTAATGTTCTCTATCAGAAGATACCGAATATCAACATTTTTGTACAAAAAAAATGGCGGGTTTATAAATTTACTAAGGCTGCGGTAGAAGTGGGGCGTCCTCGGTGTCTTTATGTATGTAAGATACAGCGCCCTGTCGAACTTGAGGGAAAGATACGTCGACAGGTTCTCGATGTAGAAGTTCTGGTCTTTAATCGTGAAGGAGAGCAGAAGCCTCTTGGCCTGGTCAAGGTGGATCAGCGGGTTCGTGTTCTTACTTATTGCAAACGGCCTCACGCTCGTGTAGTCCTCTTTATCGTCCGAAAAATACCCCAGCTCAATCTTCCTGTCGTTCTCCCCGTCAGAGGCCCGGTCAGAGCTCTCATCGAAGAAATCAAGCTCGTCGTTCTTGGACGCCTTGTCGCCCGCCGAATCCCTGGTAAGGCTCTCTTTGATGTCCTTGAAGTCAAACGATCGCGATCTCGACCCCCGCACGACAAGCAGGTGCAGCTCTATCAGAAGATCCTTTGCATTCCCAAACTCCTTAAAAAGCAGGTCAAAGTGGCTGATCCCCGCCATGCGGTACACGAAGAATATCACATCGACCACCTGCTTGTCACAAACCCCTATGAACGGCCTGAGCAGCACCGCCAGGTTATTTATGTAAAATTTCCCATTTGAAATTATGCTTTTTTGATCAACAGCCAAACAGCCAGCGTCCCCTTCTGAATCCGCCTTGGGGCTGTCGACGGGCTTCTCGGAGGCTGTTGCGACGAGATGCACGTCCTCCGTGCTGTTTTTTGTCTCGCTGCAGTCCGCCTCTTCTTTCTTGCTGCCCGTGTCTCGCATCAGGTACGGGAGCTCGCAGTCGACGGTCTCCAGCCTGAGATCGTGCATCACCCCTGTTTCGACGAAGCCGTAGCACAGCAGGCATATGTTTATGTCGCTGAGATGGCGATCAGAAAGGTCGAGATGCTCGTGATAGGATGCTGCATTCCTGTAAAAATACAAAATATCATAGTCGGTGTTGAGATCGAGCGTGGCTATATCTTTCACCATTCCGATGGGTAATTTTGTTTTTATAAAAAATTTTACACAAGATTTTCGAGCGATCAGGAACGGCCTTGTATCGTGGATGAAATGGCGTGCGGGGTGTCCGGTCGCAAGCTGTCTGGCGTGTCGCGCGGTTTTCCCCGTGTGCATGCGGGTTGTGCGCTGTGTTTCCCGAGCGCAGAGAGGATGCCGTTTGTGTCCAGGGGAAGACGCGGAAGGGACGAAGCCGATCACGGGCGGGTATTTTCGAATCTACTATCACAAATGATCGATTTTAATAAAACGACCAAAATTTCCAAAGGGCTATGGCGCACAGGCGGAAAAGGGCGGAGGGGGTCGCAGGTGAAAAGACGATTTTCACAGTAAGTGGTGCAGGGGCTGGCACGAATTCCGACGGGGAGAGGCCATCCAGTAAGGGGGCTGTTGGGCGGGCACCCTGCGGCCTCGCCCCCTTAACAGGCGTCGTCCCGGCGGTGGGCTTTTCAGCATTTTCATGGGCGTGCTCGTGTACCCAGACAGGGACGCAGACCCATTTTACGACCGCACGCTGAAGGCGTATTCCGCATGGCAGGGCTTCGACAGAAAGGAGGTGTTTCAAAGGAGATACTACGAGCGCCTTGAGGGTGGGGATGCTCCCGCAGAAGGAAGCGAAAAATTCGCCGGCTGCAGCAGCCTCCAGTTCGAAATGGAATATATAGAACAGGCAGGCCATTACAGGATGCAGAGGGTCAAGATAACGCCCTATTTTCTGTGGCTGGGCTGGTACCTGAACCACGCGACTGCAGAGCTTCTGGCGAAGGACACGCTGGACATAGCCCTGGAGCTGGGGAGGAGGTGGAACTCGATGGGCCAGCGGTCCAAGGCCAGGTCGAGGCCCCGCAGCCCGGCGAAGTCTACAGGGACCTGAATCTCCTTTTGTTCGCCGGCGCCTTTATCTCGAACATCTTGGTCGCCAATCTGCAGTCGAAAAAGATAATGCAGCTGATCTACCTGGCCAACGGCATTTTCGTCGCGGGGTTCTGCATGTATTTCAGCACCAGCCGCATCCACCTGTATGCTGGGCGCTTTATCACAGGGCTCGCCGTCGGGTCCATCGCAAACACGATACCCTGCTCCTTGAGCTTTATAGCGCCGGTCAGGTACCGCGGGGCGATCACCTCGGTCTACGGGATTGCAATCATCGCCGGCATCATCTTCGGATACATCCTTTGCCTCTATGGCGTCACGCTCAGCTTCTTTGCGTTTTTGATGATCGTCCTCAGCACGCTGCAATGCGTTCTCCTCAGGTTCTCCCAGCGTCTTGATTCCATATAGGACAAGACCAGCGCGGTGTCCTTCGTGTCCTTTGTGCTGGACCGCCGCGCCTTCTGTTCCCTCTTTCTCATCGCGCTCTACCACGTCTCACAGCATCTTTCGGGAATAAATCACAACCTTTTGAACGCGCCCTCCATCTTCCCAGCATACAACGCCACCGAAACAATCATCTATCTGTGTCCTCGCGCTCTGCACGGCCGTCGCCTCCTCCCTCCTGGACCGCTTCGGAAGAAAGCCGCTCACCGTCGCCAGCTGCATGACCGTGTCCGCCTCCTGGATGGCCTTCTACTACGCGTACCACCCGAAGATCTTTGCGGTGCTCTTTATCCTCGGCTACAACACGGGGATCAGCAGCATCCCATTCGTTCTCATCGGAGAGGTCTTCCCCAGCGGGGTCGTCAGCCACGGTGCGCTGTTCGCCACGTTCTGCAACTGGCTCGGTGCGCTGGCGAGCGTGCTTATGCTCGGAGGAGACGCCAAGAAGTACAACGGGGCCTTCCTGGTCTATGTGGGATACCTCTCGTTCTTCGGCCTCGCCGTCATGCTGCTGTACAGAGAGACAAAGGGGAGGATGCCAATGTATCAATAAAGTGAACGTCAGCAGCATAAGTTTTAATTAAGGTGCGGCCTGACAGCGCAAAAGCCCACTGGGTGTGTTGTGCGTGGGGGCGTCCCGCGGTGCACCCGGATCACAGGTACTCCGCAAGGTAGGCATTTTGCACCTTCACAACCTCCTTCCCGTCTTTGCACTGGCTGTAGAGCTCCAGAACCTCGCCGTTGAGGCGGAGAAACTCCTCTCCGTAGCTGAAGCCGTCGAAGACCACCCTGGCCTCTTCCTTCTCCCCTATGATATAGAGGGTGGCAGAAAGCGCCTCCACACAGTTCAGCCGCCACGGACGCCCGTAATTGATTGTGTTTGCTGCGACAAGCCACGGCAGCAGCCTATTGTTGCGCTTTGGCAGCTTGCTGAAGTCGAACTCCTCTATCTTGTTCCACGAGCAGTCGATCAGGCCAATCCCGAACCGCTCAATGTGCTCCCTGTCGGCCAGCGACACGGCCTGCGGCCCGCTTGGAGACAGGATAATCCCGTTGAAATGCCTCCTAAGAGGGATCGACTCTATTTTTTGTATTTGACCAGCCTGTGGCCGCTGCACCGTTTCGGATCGCATTCTCCGAACACGTAAATCACCTTCCTCATCCTCCCCGTCGCAAATTTTTCAGACAAAATCAAAAAGGGCGCGTCCGGGCGCTCTTGGGCTCGCACGTGTTGAGCGGCAAATTTTACTTTTAAACGTTATTTTCGCGGATGGGTTTTCCGTCGGATGAGAGGCTGAGTTTGAGGATGAGTTCGTCCACAAGTTCTACGACAAGAAATCCGGCGCATTCTCGGACTCGAGGGTGAAGCCATGGCCTTTCACGCTTGATTTCATGAGAGAGTACGCGACGGACGGGTCGCTCGTCTTGGACAGCGGGTGCGGGAACGGGAGACAGTTCATCAGCGAGAACACGGTCGGCCTCGACTACTCGGCCCCGCTGCTGCGCTCCGCCGCCTCAAAGAGGAATCTCGGTCTTGTGCGCGGGAACGTGCACAGCCTGCCGTTCAGAGACGGCACGTTCGACATCGCGCTCAGCATTGCGGTGGTCCACCACCTCAGCACGCACGAGAGACGGCTGAGATGTCTGACAGAGCTCTGCCGCATCCTGCGGCCCGGCGGCCGGTGTCTCGTCTACGCCTGGCAATCCGGCGCATTCTCCAAAGCCAAGTTTCAGCACATCAAAGACACAGAATACCTTGTCAGCTGGCGCGGCGAGACGGACGCCCTGCGGTACTACTTCCTCTTCGACGAGCAGCTACTTGTCTCACTCTGCAGGGAGGCCGGCTTTACCGTTGTGGGGTCTGGCATCGAGCAGGAAAGCGTCTACGCCGTCGCCAAAAAAGAAGATTAAAAACAGCATGTCTCCTAATCTGTTAAAAATGCGAGATCCGGGGATTGAACCCGGGACCATCAGATCTTCAGTCTAGTGGTCTCCCACTGAGCTAATCTCGCGCAGGAGGGGCGTTTTGCCGATCTTTGTGCTGATCTATGGGCTGTTGCGAAGACGCGGGCCGGGGCCTGTGTTCCCGGCGCAAGCACCGGGCCGCTGATCAAATTTATGCTCTCTTCCGCACCGAACCGTTCGAGCTCGGCAAGGTTGCAGATCTGGGCGATGCGCGGGGTGGAGAGGAAACGGCGCCTGGCAATAAGGGCGTTGAAGGAGGCATAGTCGATGTACGACAGAAGGTAGGAGAGCGAGTTAATAATCGCGGCGGCCGGAAGGGCGTAGTACGCGGAAAGGCTAGACGTGTTCGAGCGCCGCTATAAGACGGTCAATGGGAGGCGCCGTGAAAATACGGCGGTAAAGCGGCTCCGGGACCCTGGCCTCCTTGATGGGCTGGTGGTCGAGGATCGCACCGGGGAGGAAGCTGTCCAGCGACTTGGCAGCCAAGGCACAGAGCTGGGAAAAGAGCGGTGCGATTGCGGAATCTATAATCTCTGCCACGTCGTCTCCAAGGACCGTCCGCAATTCGATGAGGTTTGCAAGGATGAAGGCGACCATTGCCATGCTTTCTTCGAAGTCTGCGAGGCGCCTGTTTATCTCGTCAAGCGCTGCGGAAAGGTTCTCGACAAGAGCGGCCTCGGGGAAAACGCCGAGGACAAACCGGATGGCATGGGCAAGACTCAGCATCTCATCCCTCGGAATGTCCCTCGAGGAGAAGGAGGGGCAGTAATCAAGGTAGAGTTGGAAGAGACAGCTGAAAACGTTGTAGACGGAGATGCCTTCAAGCTCGTCCTCAGTCGAGTCTTCGTAGGCTCTGAGCCGCGTGCGCAGCCTCTCCAGCTCCAGCTCCACAGCCTGCTTTGCAACAAGCTGCTGGGTCTGAATGCAGTATTTTTGAGAAAGCACGCGGCAGTTCCCACAGCTCACGGAGAAGCTGCGGTACCGCTCAAGCTCCTCGCGGAGGGTCTCGCGTTCCGCCATACAAACCTCCAATTCTTTCTTGTAGCGTTCTAGTACGGTGCGGCAGGTCTGGTGGCTGTCCAAAGCAGCCTCTTCCTCTTTCGTAGAGTTCAAATTGAATTTTCTCCTTGTGCAGACCGTTGTTGGGTGGTGCGAAACGACTGGTCTCTGCAGGAACATCTTTTCCTGTGAAACCGGCCTCCGAAGCGCTTTCCACCGGCACGTCCTTCTCTGAAATACTTTCCTCCGAGGTGCTTTCCTCTGAAATGCCTTGTCTTCAAGAGGGCGAATATAGCCGGGTATGTTGTCGAATTCGACGCTTTCATCGTCTAGGAGCGCATTAAGCTTTCTCTTTTTTTGTCAGCTCGGACTTTAGGCCGCGAATACGGCTTCCCACCCGCAGAAGAAGATCCGGTTCTTCTTTGCTAGTAGAAAGTCTCTCCATGCTGGACTCATGGATACAACTAGCTGGATCGTCAATGCTGACGCTTATACTGCCACTCGAGCGGACGATGGCAAAATATGGAGGTAGAATTAACATTATATTCATGGGTAGCGAAAACGAGATTTATATATAAAATCAGATCAACGGTTATTTGATTAAAATATTCAATAAACTGCAGGTTAGATGTAAAATCACGGCAAGGCTCCTTTTTAGAACAGATCGTCTCCTATTGCTTTATAAAACAGTCTGGGGATTAAAATAATTAGGATTAATCAAGAGTGGGTCTACAGTGTTTTTAAAAGGTGCTACGTTTATTCGGTGGGTGAGTAGTTACCCGTGGTACGATTGTATGACGGAGCTTGATGCGTTTCTGAATATGGCAGTCACGAAATTGTTTATTTGTTTAGTTTTTCAGACAGACACAAAAAACATGGGGGAAACGAAAACATGGAGGAGGGGGAGGACTCTAGGGTTTTTTTAGAATGTGTGAAGGTTGGAGGCAGACTGCGGGTCAGAATCCTCAGCTCGAGCTACTACACAGACGCGAACTGCCAGTTCCCACGGAATATCAGAGAGGAAAACACGCTGTATAGCGTGCCTCCTGAGGCGATAAAGCTGATAATCAGGCCCACCAGCAAATATTACAGGATCGACCCGAAACTAATTACGGTTATACAGAATGTGAGCAAGAGGGCGCTGATAAAGAAGGTTTTTACGGATGCCGAGAACGACGAGTGCATAATCTGCATGTCTGAAAAGAAGTACTATGTGTTCTCGCCGTGCGGCCACTTTTACATATGTAAGGAATGCAAGGAGGGCGACATGGACAAGTGCCCGATATGCAGATCGAACATACGGGGCTATGTTCCCTATTCAGAGATGCAATAAAGACCGGATTAGTTAAGAGATAGGCCATGTGTGTTTAAAATGAACAGGTGATCCGCCGAGAATGAAATATGTAGAACCTAATTAAAAATTTTAATTAAGAGTAAAAATTTTATGATGAAGGAGCCCATCGTAATGCTGATCTGCAGGTGTATTTTGGTGATTATCCTGTGGGGTGTTTGTGGAAGCATGGGGGGAGGATGCACGAAGTCGGCAAATAAAATGCCTGAACAAGACAGTAAAGAAGAGGCTATAGAGTCGCTGGAGAAAGAGGGCAAGGAAGTTGGTAAGGAAATAGTGGAATTGAGAGATGAAAATAGGGAAAAGGATGAGAAGAGAATAGATAAGCTGGTTGAAGGAATTGCACATGATGAAAAGACTTTGGCGGACTTAGAAAAAGGGAGAGTGGAAATAAAAAATAAATTGGAAGCAGGACAATCTGAGAAGGGCAGTGAGCAGTCTAAACCGGAAGATACACAAGGAGGGAAGGGAGCAAAGAAGGTATATTCGGTTAGTGATGCTTTTAGTGATGATTTTGAGTCTAAATTGTGGGGTTAAGAATGATATCACTTTTTTTGAGGATTTAATATGTACAGGGGCATATGGGTCGATACCTTAGTATAAAAATTGAAATTAAATTGTGTCTTGAGAATTTTAATTATGTTTTATTTAATTTTCTGCCTTTCTAACTGGGTGGAGATACGGTTGCTCGAGTATTAGAGCAGGACAGAAAGACGATAGCACGTGACATTAAGTGCCTAGTACTGTGTCTGTGAAAGGAAGTATCACTAGGGAGACGATGGGTTATCACTAACGGGACTGGGCTATTTCCTTGTTCCCAGGACAGATGTTTGATTTCCGGTTCAATTTATGCAAAGAGGATCTCGATATTGCTTTAATTAAAAATTTTAATATAAAATAAATACCTGAGATCAAAGCCATCTATGTTGGGGCTGTTGTCGGTTGTGAGTCTGTTGTTGTGCTGTGATGCAGCAAGCGATGTGGGGTGGATGAGGAACTGGCTTGAGGGCCTGGGAGGGGAAAAGTACAGAAAACATGACAGGAAATACGATTTCATGACTGTCAGGGACTTTATCAGGAACAGCAGCGACAAGTGCTCGAATGTTTTCTCGCCAATCTGCAGCGAGTTGAATGTCCTCCTGCAGGCGTGTTCGGGGGAGTACGGCGGGGGTGTGAGGACGGAGGCCAAGGCACACATGGACAGAGTGGTCGGTGCACTGGATGCTATGGACAGGAAGAAGTTTACGGCGCTGAACAAGGTGTACACGCCAGAAAGCTGGACGAGTATGCTTCCGGACATGCCCGAGGATGTCGCGAAGACGTACTCACCAGGCGATAAGGCCCAATGCACCGGATTGATAGGCGATCATGTGGAGTGGGTGAAAAGGGAGTCCAGGGGTAAGTTGGAGAGCTCGTTGGATGTTGAAATGTTCTTGAGTGAGATGGGGATATACGCGTCGCTGGTCTATTTCAAAGATGAGTGGTACAGCAAATTCAACAGGGAGAGGACTACAGAGCGTAATTTCCATTTGAACAAGAAGAAGGCAGTGAGGAGGAAGTTCATGATAATAGAAAAATACTTTCTGTACTACCAGCACGAGGATTGTAAGTCAAATCGCAGATTTAACCTGGTGGCTGTTCCCTATAAGAATGAGGATATAAAGCAGCACGGTGTGAACCAGGGCGAGTTTATGCGGTACATGATCTACCTGGTTCCGAAGAAGACAGAGGCAAACCTGAACGGGGTGTGGAAGGAGTTCTGCAAGGTGACGCAACGGGACATTAAGTGTCTGCTGCGGAGGTGCAAGCAGGACAGGGAGATAAGGCTGAGGATACCTCGGATCAAGAAGCTGAGGTCGAAGCTTGATCTGAGGGATGTTCTCAGGAGGACGTACGGGAGCGGGCCTGCGGAGTTCATCAAGTCGATGATGGTGGGGTTTATCGATGTGAATGAGAAGGGGGCGGAGGCAGCGGCGCTTGTGAAGGCGTGTGTGGCGGATGACTGCGGGGATGATGTTCCTGCACTGTGCATCAAGGCGAACAGACCATACATTTGCATTGTGTATGACAAGACAGAGAACAGGATCTTTTTTGTGGTGAAGGATGTTGGGTGAATGAAACGCTAAAGTTAATATGTTTTAAGGGGGTTACGACATGTCTTATGATTTTGACCTTCTTTTTCAGCAGGAAATCGACAGGAGGGCCATCTCATCTTCAGGCCTACCACCTCCTGCGGCATTTGGGTGTATGGAAGTTCCTGGAGAGCTCATCTCTTTCTTCAGAAACGCTCTGTTATTCTACGCCTTTCCTCCTCTACGTGCTTGGGCTTCTAGAAATAGTTGAGCTATTATTAGGAAAAGAAGCTGTAGAGATAGTAATTTACTCACCAAAAACATATAAATGAAGATTTTGATTTAATTCTTAACAGAAGATCGTATTAAATGTTTAATTTGTACTGATGAGTTTGAAGAAAATCAATTGATTGGGAAGTTCAATAGATGTAGTTATTATTAGGTTTTCATCTTCAGAAGGAAGGTTAACACCATATCTACTTCCAGAATTAAAAATATATCTTAATCCTGTTTTTGATTTTAATATAATATTACCACCTTTTAGGTTTAAAACTACATTTTTGTGTTGATATTATTGTAATCATTTATAGACAACAACAAGCACTATTATATAAAATTGATTACTTAAGTGATTAATTATATGATAAACTATATGGTTGCCTATTTCCATAGAGTGGTGTAGTGCTTGTGTATCAAAAGTGAATGTAACAACACAATGAGTGTCATGCTACATAGGGCGGTGGTTTTACATACGATAACATTATGCTATACACGATATCTCAGGGTTCAGCAGCGTAAATACTTTATATGTCGACATAACATAAATAGGTTTTTTGCCCCAACATTGAGATGGGTTTAAAAACACCGTATTTGGAAGCAATACAGAGTATTCCAGGCGAGACCGCCCACGAAAAATATTGCTGGATCGCGACCGAAATAAAGGCCCAAATCGCGGGGGGCGCAAGTCTTGAAGAGATCGTCAAGACGGAGAAATTCCCGCAGCATCTGTCTGGGCTGTTCAAGATTGAGGCCGCGAAAATACTGAACAGAACCGGACACAAGAGCCAGGGCAGTTATGAAGCGATCGCAGAGAGTCTGAAATCCGAGAACAGCGAGATTGTGATTAGGGCCTTGCAGGCGAACGAGTTCTTCAACGGCACGAACATGAGCATCACTAACGTTGATTACTTCATTAACAACCTTTTTCCGTATGTCTCGTACGACACCAGATGCAAGATGGTCAGGAAACTAGCACGCTGTCTTTTTGCAAGGAACACTCAGCTCGCGGAGAAGTTCTATGAGGCGATTCTTTCTTCTTACGGAATAGACAGAGCAATGCCCCTTTTGCCGGCTTGTTCTGAGCCCTTTATCATCGATATGATTGTTAAGCACAGGATCGTACTTTCCATGGGCAAGGTCAAAGTGTTGTATAAGAGATATCCGAATCTGGTAGTGTGGTATTTGAAACTGAGTAATCCAGCACTAAAGGATCCTTTGAAGCGATCAACCCACCACGTTAACATTCATGGATACGTGAATTTCCTGCCGAGGCTGATAAAACGAAAGTTGACGGCGTTTATTGAAATCTACGAGATGCACGGAGGGAACGTTCCAGCATTGTGGCTAAGTAATAAACGAGCGAAGCGATTCGCACGGAACGCGAGAGAGCATTATCTGGAGAAGCCAAAGGTTTTCTTTAAACTGTTGATACCGGAAAAGATCAAGGAGGAGGACATGAAAACGATGCTGCCGAAGATGCTGCCTGGTAAGATCGAAAAATTCGACACAAACCGGATGCTACAACATCTGAAGCACTATCCGAAGAAGAAGTCCGTATCGCTTTTGCTCGAATCCTACAAAAATGCCTACGAGGAGAATCTCTTGGACAAAGAGAAAAACGTGACCGCGGAGCTGATGAAGATACTACCCGCGGAAGAGCGGGTTAGGCAGGGGAGGATAAAGGTGAGGAAAGAAGAGGAAAAAAACACTACCAATAAGAGCCACGAACTCACATGGAGATGTTACCTGCCGACGGAGGAAGTATTGCCGAAGATACGAGAGCAGATAGCCAAAACGCCGGACATGTACGAGAGAGAAATCTTGGTATCGCAAATGTTGTTTTGCTGTGAAGTGAACGAGGATCACGAGGCGCTGCTGGAAGTGTTTGAATACGTCAGAGACAGACACAGGAACGAAATGTGTTGGTTTCATCACGCATTCATAATGAATGTGCAGAGAATACACGATACACTGCATCTGAGCAAGGTCCATAATGATGTGCTGTTTGAAATCGTTCGGCGGATGTATGTTAAGGCGGAGATATCCGATTTTCGTAGTGTTTCTGTGAATTTTCTGGAGAAAGCTGTGCATTTCCGGCTTAATAGCGGTTCGCCACCAGAGCCGATTCTGGAGATGATATTCTTTGTAGTATCGCATGGCTATTATTCTCACTGGAACTTTCTCACTGACTATGCAGAATACGAGAGGTTGTGCCTTCTTCATTTCTTGCGGCTGGCTGAACAGGAACGTAATGCGGCCGGGGACACATGGAGCGAGATTAAGTTCAAAACCGTGTCGAGTCTGATCGAGTCGATGTATGGATTTAATGAGAGGCATACGGAGTTGCCCAAGTCTAAGATGGCGTCTTTGTCTGTAAAGGACTATCCATGGCTTTTTGACGAGCTTGAGAGAATGCTGGAGGAGGGCTGTGATCGCAACATGCTGAACACGTTGAAGACAACTTTGAAGAAGCATGAGACAGATATTCACTATCGCCTGTGGCCATCTGAACAGGACGCTGCTACAATTGATATAAAAACTCTGAAGAGGGACCCACAGAGGATTCTCACAAACTGGGAGAAATACTTTGAAGAATGCGAAAAAAATCATTATTCTGGGGCTGTGTACCGT